ATTAATATCATTAATATCATTAATATCATTAATATTATTAATATAATTATTATATATAATATATAATTAGCATTCAATAATTATGTCAATTTCCATGTATTCTAAAAGCACATTTTCCTCTAATAGGCCCTTCAGTATCCCAAACAAATAATATTACATAAGTCTGGATTGTACTGGAGAAGCTGAAGTTTAGCCGAGGATAAAAACATTATTTCTAATATTATTTAGTAATTTACATATAATTACTTTGCAGATGGATGAGCGACCTAACTGGCTATTTTATTTTATTGAATGATATACGCTTAATTTATTAAAAATTATGCAATTTAATTTTGTTTCATTTAATCTTTTTATTTCTATATCAATTATAATTATAAATTATAAGTGAAATAGATTAATTATTAAGATAAATATAACAAAAATTAAAAAAATTAAATTAAATTTGCACGATTTTTAATAGAAAATCCTATATTATTTGAAAATTCGAGTATTAGGTTCAATCAAATATTTATTGTATAAGTTTTTTATCGCTTAATAAAATCATCTTGCAGGTTCTTTGTAACTTCAATAGTTTCTTATACAGGGTGTTCCACCTAAGAGGAATTCTTCTGTAACTCTGTAACTATAAAATTTATAAAAAGCTGGTTTTAATAAAAGTTGTCTGGAATCATGTGGGCCATGCAAAGAAAATATTTTTAGCTTTACAGGGTGTTCCATTTCGCGCTTGTTTGATATTTTAAATGGAACACCCTGTATATTATTGCGTTTTTGTATTCCTTGGCTAATATTAGGTAGAGTTTATTGAATGTACATGGTGATTAAAACTTACCGTTTTCGAGATAATCAGTTGTTTTTGAAAAAAATCACGATTTCAGCTCTCTAAAAAAGGCTAGATAGCGTCTAAACCGTAACAGTCAGAAACCTGCAGTTTTCATAGTTCGTTTAGGCATAAATTACTCTATCTTGTCATCTGTAAGCAAAATGTGTACGTTATTCAGACTCGGAAATACTGAGACCTACATTTAATAATAATACGAGTTGAAAAACTTTTTTATTTCATATGGAATGACCCATATTAATTGTCATGGGTGAATGCAAAATTGAATGCCCTTTCGACTGATATAAGATTGTCCATACTTACCTCTAACCGTTCCAGAAAAATCAGGTTATTTTCTAGTTCCGAAAAAGTAGCTATGTAGGTAACAACGTCAAGAAGGCCTTGCAATTGTATTTAGTATAACGTCGATAAATAGGATTATACAAAAGCACAGCACAGCACTTATCTAATTATTACACCAAGAGTTACTAAAAGTAGACTTTCAGCGGAGATTGGATTCTGTCAGTGGGCACTTGAGATGTTAAATCAAGATGATGATTTTTTTAAACGGGTCATATTCTCCGATGAGGCTACTTTTCATAAAAATGGTCTCGTTAATAGTCATAATTGCCATTATTGTGACACAGTAAATCCTCACCAATTCCAGATAACTCATAGCCATGGTCTTTGAATGTGTGGGGAGCAATTTTGGGAACCCATGTCATTGGACTATTCTTTTTTGACCAGCGTCTAACTGGAACAGTTTATTTAAACTTTTTAGTAAACACTCTAGAATATTTGTTAGGCGATATTCCTTTAGCTTCGAAGAATGTGGATGCAACATGATGGTGCTCCACCTCACAATACCGCTGCGGTTCGTCAGTTTTTATACGAAACTTATCCCAACAGACGGATTGGGTGCGGGGAACCAGTGAGTTGGCCTTCAAGTTGTCCAGATATGACAAGTTGCGACTTCTTTTTATGAGGATTTATAAAATGCAAAGTTTACGTTACACCACCAACTACCGCGGAAGGTATGTGGCAGCGCATTACAGTAGCATTTCAAGAAATTACGCCAGATATGCTGACCAATGTTGAACAGTCTTTTAAAAACCGAATTCGTTTGTGTATTAATCAAAATGGAGGACACTTCGAGCAATTGATGTAAATCAGCGGTCTAAATATTCTTCTCCTTGTGTTCCGAGTTTCAGTTCGTTTCGTTTTGCGTTTTTTTTAGTTGTTGTTAGTGGTTTACTTTTGTTTGTCATACCACTTTTTAAACATGCCAGTAAATATTGACACTGTTAGTCCCAGGCCTGATAAAATGTGAGAGAAAAGTGGTTTTGCAAGATCTTCTTGACACTGTTACATAGCTGCTTTTTCGGACTTTAGAAAAGAACACGATTTTTCTGGAAAACTGTTAAAGATAAGTATGGACAACCTTATATCAGTCGAAATAGCATTCAATTTTGCATTCACCCATGACAATTAATATGAGTCATTCCATTTGAAAAAAAAGTTTGTCGACTCGTAAAATTATTAAATGTAGGTCTCAGTATTTCCAAATAACGTACACGTTTTGCTCATAAATGATAAGATAGAATAATTTATGCCAAAACGAACTGTGAAAACTGCAGGTTTCTAACTCTTACGGTTTAGACACTATCTAGCCTCATTTTATAGATTATCTCGAAAACGGTAAGTTTTAAACACCATGTACATTTAGTAAACTCTACCTAATATTAACCAAGGAATTTAAAAAATCAATAATATACAGGGTGTTCCATTTAATATAACAAAGTTATGTAACGCCCACGCGTAAAGCTAAAAATATTAAACCATTTTTTTTACAGTTGCAGAGTTACAGAAGAATCCCTCTTAGGTGGGACACCCTGTATATACCAGTCAAAGACTGAATAATATTAAGAAAAGCTTAATTTTTTTATAAATTATAAACAAATTCATGTAACTAACGATCTACAATAGCTACAAACTTGGTCAAAAGCTCATTTGAAAGATCAATTGATACTCACAAAATTGTCTTGAATGTCCATAACCGTATCTTTGAAAGTTTTAAAGTTATAGCTATAAGTAAACAAATTGCATGGCCGCTTTGACTTCCGGAGAATACTAAACTAAAAAATTTTATAAAAAATCGAAAAAAAAATTTTTTTACAAAAAATTATACACCTACGGGTTTTATTTTTTCTTTATAAAAAAAAAAAGAATTTTTGACGATTGTTTATAACAAATTGTTAAGTAAATAAACAAAAAAATTTTCAACAAAAAAAAAATTTTTTAACTAATGTCCTCGAAGCGAAATAATGAAACAAAAATTGTTTGTCAATTGAGAAGCAGCTATAGAAAGCCGGCTTTAGCTCCATCCGTATTATACTGTCCAATCTATGGTTCCATTGCAACTGGTAGTTTTAAACAAATGAATAAACAAAGTGCCGATACCCTCTTGGACACTGTATCAAGTATCAGACCTGTTTTATTAATAATTACAAACTGACTCCGATAAGTAGGTACCAAACAGCCTTACGGAGACTTACAAACCACATTAATTTGAATTGTCCAGATTATTTTTTAAAAAAGAAAAATTATTCAGAGTAGAAGGTTTACATTCTCAAAAAAAGGTGGCTGCTTAACGGAACGTATATTCTCCTGAAATCGTTGATATATCGAACTTCAGTGCTTTTTAAGAAAAATTACAAGTCCTCTTTCACAGTTAGACGAGTAATCAGTACCGATTAAGTGATTGTCTGCCATTTTGTATGTTACTAACCTCTCGATCATAAGGCGTCAAAGTAAAGGTGTGGATGGGAATAGCGGGATTGGAAGCGAACAGTACCTCCTCCAATAGTCTTGTTTTTCCCTGTCTGAAATCGCCGCGAATGATTAGCATTTTAAAAAAATCTGGAACTTTTCCCTTTTTCTGTGAGAATTCCATTGCCTTCTGTAAGAGCGTGTTGTACAGATCCAGTTCTTGTTCCCTTCCGAGTAAAGGAAAAGGGCTGAAGGAAAATCCTAGTTCATTAGCCCTAAATAACAAAAATTCTTTTAAAACTACTTGCAATTCTCAAGTACGCTTAAATCATATAAGAATGTCACAATTTTGTCATCGGCATTTAACTGAAACTTGTTCTGTTCAAAACAAAGTGAATAACTAAATATACCTCAGTACAAAAATGCTTCCTTAAAAAAATAGGTATTAATAATGATGATTTGAAGCTCGCTAGATAAAATTTTTATTCTAAAAGTTTTTGACTATGTCTATGATTTAGTAGATTATTAAAGAAACATGGTAGATGAATTGGTCGGTTTAGTGAGGTGCCCTTCACGAAATCCTGACTTAAATCCGCTAGGTTTCTGTTTATAGGGATTTTTTAAAGCGACGAGTTTACCATAAAGTACTTAGCACTAGGAAACAATCATTATGTTAATAAGACAGTGCTGGATCTGTATTAGGGTTGCCAACATCCTGAATTTCGATAAACGTCTACCATTTGAGCTAATTTAGCATTAGTTGTCTTGCGACCTGCCAGGGCTTCTTGAAGGACGCCAAATGTTGTCAATTCTACACCTTTGTGTTTCAGCGAAAGCGCCGACGGCGTTTTTGACGGTTTAAATCTGAAGCATTCTGGCCGTGCACGTGCACTAGATGCACAGGGTCGGCTTACTTTTGTGATTAATTTTCTTAGTAAATTTTCTCCAAAACAGAAGCATTTAGACGACCAGTCGCTTAATAGAAGTTGCTCATTATCGTGCTCTCTATCGCCCTTTTCAAGAAACCCACTTATTTTAGACACACCCTGTATAATATCATAGTATTAAACAAATTTTTATTTCATTAAACTTTAACAATCATGTAAAAGACCATAATGTAATTACTCTGTACTTATGAATAACGTGTTAAGAGTTCGTCTAATTTCGTGCCAACATCCAATGTAACTGCCACCTTATCGAGATACCAAAGCTAATTTGTTAAATTTAGGATGCAGTGTGAACATTGACTTATTACTTCTCTTTATATAAATAGTTATTTTCTTGTAGCGCTACTAACTTTCATTCAGAACAAATGAAAGCTTTTCAACAATCAATTTCTTGATTTAGATATTGCATCTTCGATAAACTCAGTAGATAGATACGCAAATAAGATCTTATGAAACATCGAACCTATTAATACTAACAGCAATACTTTTTCGAAGTTATACCTTTCCACCTCCTTAAATTCATATATGGGTCCTGGATGAACAATTCCTTTCAACGGCTTGAACTCTTGCAGAATGAAATTGCGCGCCTCCAATTTGCTGTAAAGAAACGTTTCTCGGTCGCAGGTAACCTTGTTTGGGTAAGCTACCATGAGCCTGGCAGCCTTATTCACTACCAGACCAATCACGGTATATTCCCTTCTCAATGTATGGCCGAAGGCTCCACAATAACATCCGCCTAATATGAAAAAAAGCCATATATTGTAAGATCTGATCTACTCGTACCTGAAAATATTCTTAATCTCAATTATTTCAGCAATGTTATTCTGTGATGAACTTTGAATGATAAAACTATGTTGGTATCAATCAGTAAACTACTAAGTCTCTTATTGATAGCCAGCCAGTTCATACATGAACCGTGGGTAAAATAAAATAGTGACACAAGGGCCCCATTACAGAGGAACAACATTGCTCAGCTAATTAAGATTGTCCTTGCAATTATTTTTCGCATTTTCTTTTTTCTATACTGGACATTGAACATATTTAAAGTAAATAGTTAGTGCGATCGGATGCAATGGAAAAACTTTCTAATAGTATGGTAGTAATTTATATTCACATTAATTAAAACATTGTTTAAGTGAAGTGTGACTTAGACAATTTTCTTATTCCTAATTGCACACAGTTAAATTAGTTAAATCAATCGTATATTCCACAACATTCATGCGATACGGAATTTACAAACAAAGTAATCAAAACATGTAAGCAGAATAAACAACCACTCTTTAGATATTCCTTGGAAAGCGGGTGGAAAAGTCAATACAACTACGATCAAAACAGGTTATTAAAAAAAACCTGTATAATGGCCCAAATTTCCTTAATTAATAATTAGTTCATGGGCAAAATAGTTAAAACAACTACAAGATTGCTAATTGGATTTTCCAATTAAACAGAATAAAAACCAGTCATATTTCATGATGTACAGAGTAACTAAATAAGACTTGGCCCAAACGAGACGGTCAAAATGACCGTATACTGCTCCAAATTTCTGCAAACAATAAGTTCTTAGGTAAGGTAAGTTATAAGAACAAGATGTTTGGCTAAATATTATTTGCAAGCATAATTCCTAAAAACCACGCACTACATATTCAATGATACGCTGTCAAATGGTATCAATACAACGCGCCTAAACTATAGTAGGATCATATTCGATGCAAAGTAATAAATCATTGCCTGTCAAGGGAATCAGTGCAACACGTTTTAGGGGGTTTTGGAAATTGAATAATTTCTTTATGCATTATGGATTAATAGTTATATATTTATGAAGAACAAAATGAAAAACAAAGGCATCTCCTTCGCACATAGGGCGGCAGGGCAACAATACATTTATTACTCCCTTCATCCTCCCTCATATGACTTGTGTCTTGTGTTTGTTGCGGCGGCGCGAGTACCGGCCCGGCGTGGTCAGTTTCGTTTCGGTTGTATTGGTGCTGCGTGTTTCTCGCTCGCGATATTTGTGAGGTTATAACTGTTATAAGTGCAATTATATTTCGTTGGGGCTGTATTTGTGTTTCGCGCTATTATTTGAGAATTTGTGAGTGAAATCATATTTCTTGTGCTCCGTAACAAAAGTGTTTTTAGTGTTTTATTTGTGTGCTGTGTGTGTGTTTCGGGCTGTTGTTTGTGAATCGTGAATGCTATTATATTTTCTGTGCTAGTTAAGTGAAGTTTTTTGTATTATTATTGCTCTGTTGTCGTTATATGGAGAAATGGAGGCGGTGCCTGGATGTTCGCAAGCCGGATGTACTGCTATGGGTACAAAAAAATCTGTATTAAGTTACAAAGAAAAAACGATAATATTTAATGTCTATAACGCTTTAGAAAAGGATGAAACTGAAGACTGGTTTGGTGGAAATGTGTTCTAGATATACTGGAGTAAGCGAATCATTTGTTTTCAAAATTTTAAGAGAAGAAAAATGAAGGAGACGTTAAGAAACCTAAAAAAGGGGGTGGAAACAAGAAATTAATATTAAATGAAGATGAGAAAAATGCAGTTCGGCGTACAGTATATAAATCATAGAATTTATATTTTGTTTATAATTTGTTTGATAGAAAAATAACTTATTTCGTTGAGATTGATAGAGAATTGTTGTTAGTGTTTTCATTCTGTAAATATTTATAGTATATCTGTTATACAAGGTTTTTGCTTTGAAACTTCGTTCTCCTTATAAAAAGATAAGAATCGTAATGGGGTGCGATGAAGGGATCAGTTCACGTCTGGAACCCTGTTCCTACAAAAATCCCTTTATTCTCATAAACTATTTGTTTAAAATGTAATTTATAATAAATCCAATTCGTTATTTAAATTCCACATGTGTACTACATTTCACCTCTGTACGCGCCACTGTTTATTGTTCCCTGCTTTACGATCAAGCTCGCCAGGTTAGTATTGGACGTATAACCGACCATTTCGTACACTCGATGCACCTGGCCGACTACAGCTAGTACCATTTCAGATTTTACATTCAATTTCATTTTAAATTTGAAATGGTTCATCTTACGCCTCCTAAAAATGATGACACGATTTTCCTTTGATAAAAGGCAGACAATTTTTTGCTCTACTTTGCATCGAACTATAGTCTGTCAAAACGATCATTTTCTGAACATTGATCCGAAAGAAAAATATTTGAGACATTTTGTTTTTTAGTACCTGTTGTAACGCCCGCTGCAACTTCGTCGATTTCTTTTATGGCCTTAATTTTTTCATAGCACTCTGTTGCGCATTTTAAAGCTATCTGACTTTCCAGTTCGTGTTTGAATCCACGTAGGCCGAAAACTATCAACAACATTAAATCCTTGTCAAAATTGCTGATTTTGTTGACACACCCATAACGGTCCTTCACAGCACTGAAATATGTAAAGTATATGATTATTTGACTATACAATTATAGTAATAATTGCATAGTATACAATTCAGCATAGCAATAGTTTTACCAAATACAATACTGTACCACATTTCCTTTATTTAACACAATTTTCATTACAAACATTGTTACAAACTTTGACAACTTTGGCGTATCACAATAACAAAATTGCAAATTAACGTTCGATTGGTACCATTTATATATTTTTCATTGTTACTTGAATATCCAAGTTTCTAGGAACATGAAAGGAAGAAATAGAACATACGAGTATTTTAGAAGGATGAAACAAATAAGTAAATACAGGTGTAAGCAAAGCACACTAATATGATTTTCGTTGCACTGCCCTTCTCCTAAAGGTCAGCACAGTCCTTTCCGACCTTATTCGATTGGGACAAATTATCCAGGTAACGATTTCATTTCAACTCTGGGCCCTCACTGGATCATGTAGACCATATCGTTGATCCTCTTCATTACCATAGGTGGATATTAACAGAAGTTCTGGATCTTTTAACTTCTTTCTTACTAGACTGTACAGTCTCCTTACTGGGTTGTATAGCCATACTAGATCTCCTGGATGAAGCCCACTGATGTTGGCTCTAATATCATACCGCGTTTTCAGCTGATCGCTTTGGAATTTCATTTTCTATAGGACTTTGTCATGAATGGCATCGATTATTTTAGCTAATTTTAATGAGCAGTCTCCCGATATGTCAGGTCGATCTTCTAGATGGCAAAAAATAATGTCGAAGGGTAGTCTCAATTTTCTACCGAAGATCTTGCTGGTTGGTGTTTTTCCATTAATCTCATATAGGTACTGCAGATCGATAGGCTGATAGGAAAAGAAGTAGGTATCGGGTCGATCCCAATCGAATTGATATTTGTTGACGACTATTCACAAGTGATTCTACAAGTTAGATTAAACCTGACCACCATGCTATCAGTTTGTGGATGCAAAAGTGTTGTTTTGATCTTTTTAAAGTCCATCAACTGGCATACTCTTCAAAACACATCCAATTCAAAATATTGCCCATGATTCGAATGTAATTCTCTAGATACAACGAATCTGCGGAAGAGGTTTTCAACGAGAACTTTTGCCACTGTCACTGCCTCTTAGTTTGGGATAAGAGGCTACCAGGAGATAACGATTTCCATATTCTGCCTGAGGAAATAGTCCGGTAATGTCAACGGCAATTCTTTCGAAGGGAGCTCCAATATTGTACTGCTTCGTTTAGCCTCAGCTTCTAGTTCTAGTTCTACTACTAGAATAATCATGGCATCAGCTTGACCAATCTTCGACATCTGCTTGGCTGTCCAGCCAGTAGAACCTTTATCTAACTTTATTCAGTGTCATATCTACGCCGAAGTGTCGTCCATCCTGGATTTCTCTCACCACATTGATTTTATTCCTTGAAAGTACGAACTGCTTTTGCACTTATTTTCCATCTGAACTTTCCCGTGGCTTCTTCAATAATTTTCTAAGATGAGTGGATCCCATAATGCCAAATAACCTTTCAACGCTGATGATTTATAAGATATTTCTATCCATTTTGCTTAAGTCGCATGTCTTTTCCTAGTTTCTAAACGTTTGTCTCCATTCGGTTGCATCTTTCGGGATACGGTCATCTGAAAACTGCATCCGCGTATCTATGAAATGATACTCTTCTATGTTCAATGGCGAAGTCACATTCTTGTAAAATTTATAACCAACGAACTATCTGGATTTCTGGGTCCTTAATCTAAAATAACTTCAATGATTTTTGGATCAGATAATCAAGTAAGTTATCAATAATTGCATTATACTTGAAAATTTTGAAGACATAATTTTTATGAAATAAATTTTCTCTTGTCTCTTTCTATTTATTTTGAGGAGAGAATCAACCCTCAAACACAACGTTCATTATGAATATTCCCACAATTTTTTTTATTTTGTTCTACTCAGTTTAAATCGATGAAAAGAGTTTCTTACTTGCACACGGTGATGTAGACGTGATCCGCAACATCTATCCCCTCCACTGGTCCCACCATGGAGGAAACTTTGCAATTCAAGAACAAAATGGCTACCTGTCTGATCTCCGTCAGGTACTCCAACGGTTCAGAAGCATCTATTCCTCTTACAACGGGGGCTATTATGAACTTCCTAAGTTCATCTTTAAGCTTCATCCGAGCAGCATGGTTTACCGCTGGCCTTACTAAAGAAACAGAATGTAAACACGTAAAAATTGGATTTTTGATGCTCAAATTAAATGTTATGTTACTTTCAAATGGATTTAGGAAGAATATACAATAGCAGAAGGCAATGTACACAGTAAAAATTAGGCTTTTTCGCACTGAAATCACGCTCAATGTGGTTCATATTTATCCAGACTCACGGGAGTAAAAAAATATTTCNCATTGATTTTATTCCTTGAAAGTACGAACTGCTTTTGCACTTATTTTCCATCTGAACTTTCCCGTGGCTTCTTCAATAATTTTCTAAGATGAGTGGATCCCATAATGCCAAATAACCTTTCAACGCTGATGATTTATAAGATATTTCTATCCATTTTGCTTAAGTCGCATGTCTTTTCCTAGTTTCTAAACGTTTGTCTCCATTCGGTTGCATCTTTCGGGATACGGTCATCTGAAAACTGCATCCGCGTATCTATGAAATGATACTCTTCTATGTTCAATGGCGAAGTCACATTCTTGTAAAATTTATAACCAACGAACTATCTGGATTTCTGGGTCCTTAATCTAAAATAACTGTTTCAAAAAGGTATTATCCAATCTCAGGTCTCAAAAATATCTCACGGTTTTAATAACGGCTGCTAATAACTTCCTTTCTGATCACACAATATTTATTCTCTAGTTTTAACAATACCTTTCTCCATTCCAGTGTTGCTAGCATCCACATCGATTATGAATTCCTTATCAAATAGATCTATAATAGGAACGCAGATCTAGGAAACTCCTTAAATGATGTTTATCCTTTAGAATAAACCAGTTTCATATAGCTTCAGAACCATGTGCCGATATTACATGATTCGGGTATCCCACTTTTCTTTGAAAGAAGTTGCACCTATTCGGATTCGATTTTAGTTTAGTTCCTCTAATTTTGTTTAACGTCCTCAATATCCTTCGTATGTTCTTCAAATGTCTTATCAGGTCTTCCAGATAAATTCTTGTAACACGGTATCCATGAATCTTTCTAAAGTAGTTCCAGAATAATAGAAACCAAAGGGTATGACATTAAAGTGTCACAAACCTGTTTCAGTAGAAAGAGCAGTCTTTTCTTTGTCTTTTGTGTCGACTTCTACTTGTCAATAACCACTTTTGGTCATCATCAATGTCATCACTTCTAAGTAAAGGATAACTGTCCCCTTTGTTATATCATTCAATAATGTTGGTCACAAAAATATTCACATTAAAAATTTTCTTTATTGCTTGGAATTCTGTTTTATATACTCCAATTAAGAGTAATGTTTCACTGTCGGTATATTATTGAAAATGTTATTAGACTATTGTAGTTAAATTTTACACCTAATTTTGGTAATAATATTATTTGCAATAGGATGGAACCCCTCCTAACTATCGCTCCAACAACGGTCCCCTTACGTAACTCCCCAACGGCCAACCTCTTTGTTACACTCCCCATAAGAAAAGTACTAAATACTACTTTCAATTTTAAGTTAGGTAGATTTAACTAGGTGTATTCAGTGCAAATAGCTCTTATTGAAGGCGTCTGGATACATTTTTGTAGGGTTACCTTAGTATCAATTTTTATGAAGTGGAACCACTAAATCCGTTAGAAAAAATATAAGTTTGGTTTGTCACTTTTTTTGTAAACTTAAAAACTAAAAAGTTAAGGAGGGTTGATATTTATGGGGGCGGGTGTTTAACATTGATATGGATTTTGGACTTTTACTCATGGCACACGAGTCTTGACTTGAAAGTATAAATCCAAATCTGCGAATGAAGACGAAAGAAGACCTTATTTTATAATGTCAAAAAACTTTTGCTTAGACCATTTTTAATTTAGACAGCATTGATTAGTTTCTCTTCAAAATGTACATGAAGGCAGCTACTATAATGTAACTAACTACAGTGTAGTAAATTTGAAGACTATACCTTCAATGATTTTTGGATCAGGTAATCAAGTAAGTTATCAATAGTTGCATTCTACTTGAAAATTTTGAAGACTTAGAAATCATTTTATGAAATAAATTTTCTCTTGTCTCTTTCTATTTATTTTGAGGAGAGAATCAACCCTCAAACACAACGTTCATTATGAATATTCCCACAATTTTTTTTTATTTTGTTCTACTCAGTTTAAATCGAGGAAAAGAGTTTCTTACTTGCACACGGTGATGTAGACGTGATCCGCAACATCTATCCCCTCCACTGGTCCCACCATGGAGGAAACTTTGCAATTCAAGAACAAAATGGCTACCTGTCTGATCTCCGTCAGGTACTCCAACGGTTCAGAAGCATCTATTCCTCTTACAACGGGGGCTATTATGAACTTCCTAAGTTCATCTTTAAGCTTCATCCGAGCAGCATGGTTTACCGCTGGCCTTACTAAAGAAACAGAATGTAAACACGTAAAAATTGGATTTTTGATGCTCAAATTAAATGTTATGTTACTTTCAAATGGATTTAGGAAGAATATACAATAGCAGAAGGCAATGTACACAGTAAAAATTAGGCTTTTTCGCACTGAAATCACGCTCAATGTGGTTCATATTTATCCAGACTCACGGGAGTAAAAAAATATTTCTTAAAATTGCTTCAAAATTTCTTTTAGGGATCAAGCAATAAAATATACATCAGAATTTTTTCCCTGCAATGCAACACAGTAAAAATTAGGCTTTTTCGCACTGAAATCACACTAAATGTGGTTCATATTTATCCAGACTCACGGGAGTAAAAAAATGTTTCCTAAAATTGTTTCAAAATTTCTTTTCGGGACCAAGCAGTAAAATATACACCTGAGAATTTTTTCCCTTATAGTGGATGTAAAAATTAGTTTAATTTTAATTGTAATACAGGGTGTTTCGTAATTAATGCAACAAAATTTGGTCATAAATTTTTAAGACAAAAGGGGATCCGTATTGTTTCTTTTTACCAAGTAAGTAGCCCCCTATTCGAAGTTATAACCCCCGGAGTCTGCCCCTAAGAATAATATTTGTTATATCTCAGAACCCTGTTGTACGAGAATCACTAAATTTGGTACAAAGGGGTTTTATGACATGTGGAATCTGATAGTGCTACGCTTTTTGACGGGGAACCCCCTTAAGACACTTTTTCGTGGCCCCCCCATGTCTGGAATCAAAAAAATTTGGTAGCAAATTTGAATTTCTTAAAATTTATTAGTTAGCTAGAAATCCATTGAATTTAGAAACTTTTTTGCCTTTTGATTTTTATTTTTTCGTAAAACGCAATGTTTTTGAGGAAAATGGCGAATCACAATATGTATTCGATCACATTTTGACTTTTTTTTGGAAAACATTGCGTTTTACGAAAAAAAGTATCAAGAGACAAAAAAGTTTCCAAATTTAATTGCGTGTACCAAATTTAGTGATTCTCGTACAACAGGGTTTTGAGATATAAAAAAAGATTTCAGGGGGCTGTAACTCCCAAAGAGAGAGGCAAAAATAAAAAATACCGGTCCCCTAAATTTGTCTTAAGAATCTGTTGCCAAATTTTGTTGCATTAATTTCGGGACACCCTGTATTTTATACACATTCTGAGTGTGGAATTATACAAATTGACTGTTAAATAATAAATAAAACGTCACGCTTATTACATAATTACTAAATATTCCGAATGTAAAGATAAGTTCTTTAGGTAAAAGAAAAATAATATCTGCAACACGAAGTATGGCTTCAAATCTTTAATATGATATGGACCAGCAGGTAAACCATCCTCACTTTTTAAGAGCATAAACTATATGAGATATTAGCACAAGTTTTAGCGTAAAATTGTGTTTTCTATATCAAAGGGTATGATGTAATGTAATTTTTTTCTTACTTCAGAAAAAAGTTGAGATAAACCAATTAACCAATAAACTTCTACATAAATGTTACGATGTCCTGGAAGTCATTCTGTATCATCCGTAAGCCGACCATTATATAATTGAACGNGCACTGAAATCACGCTCAATGTGGTTCATATTTATCCAGACTCACGGGAGTAAAAAAATATTTCCTAAAATTGCTTCAAAATTTCTTTTAGGGATCAAGCAAAAAAATATACATCAGAATTTTTTCCCTGCAATGCAACACAATAAAAATTAGACTTTTTCGCACTGAAATCACACTAAATGTGGTTCATATTTATCCAGACTCACGGGAGTAAAAAAATGTTTCCTAAAATTGCTTCAAAATTTCTTTTCGGGATCAAGCAATAAAATATAGACCTGAGAATTTTTCCCTTATAGTGGATGTAAAAATTAGTTTAATTTTAATTGTAATACAGGGTGTTCCGTAATTAATGCAACAAAATTTGGTCATAGATTTTTAAGACAAGAGGGGATCCGTATTTTTTCTTTTTACCAAGTAAGTAGCCTCCTATTCGAAGTTATAACCCCCTGAAGTCTGCCCCTAAGAATAATATTTGTTATATCTCAGAACCCTGTTGTACGAGAATCACTAAATTTGGTAGAAAGGGGTTTTATGACATGTGGAATCTGATAGTGCTACGCTTTTCGACGGGGAACCCCCTTAACACTTTTTCGTGGCCCCCCATGTCTTTGGAATCAAAAAAATTTGGTAGCAAATTTGAATTTCTTAAAAATTATTAGTTAGCTAGAAAGCCATTGAATTTAGAAACTTTTTTGTCTTTTGATTTTTATTTTTTCGTAAAACGCAATGTTTTTGAGGAAAATGGCGAATCACAATATGTATTCGATCACATTTTGACTTTTTTTGGAAAACATTGCGTTTTACGAAAAAAAGTATCAAGAGACAAAAAAGTTTCCAAATTTAATTGCGTGTACCAAATTTAGTGATTCTCGTACAACAGGGTTTTGAGATATAAAAAAAGATTTCAGGGGGCTGTAACTCCCAAAGAGAGAGGCAAAAATAAAAAATACCGGTCCCCTAAATTTGTCTTAAGAATCTGTTGCCAAATTTTGTTGCATTAATTTCGGGACACCCTGTATTTTATACACATTCTGAGAGTCGAATTATACAAATTGACTGTTAAATAATAATTAAAACGTCACGCTTATTACATTACTACGAAATATTCCGAATGTAAAGATAAGTTCTTTAGGTAAAAGAAAAATAATATCTGCAACACGAAGTATGGCTTCAAATCTTTAATATGATATGGACCAGCAGGTAAACCATCCTCACTTTTTAAGAGCATAAACTATATGAGATATTAGCACAAGTTTTAGCGTAAAATTGTGTTTTCTACATCAAAGGGTATGATGTAATGTAATTTTTTTCTTACTTCAGAAAAAAGTTGAGATAAACCAATTAACCAATAAACTTCTACATAAATGTTACGATGTCCTGGAAGTCATTCTGTATCATCCGTAAGCCGACCATTATACAGGGTGTCCCGGAAATGGTGGGCAATCTCTCGGATATGGATAGATAATGAGAAAATAATCTCACAAGTTCATATAAAATTTTTTCCTCCGGGCTCACCCTATAGAGTTATTAGCTCTTGAAGTTGAGAATTAAAAATGGTTTTTTGTTCCACTATACCCCAAATTTTCCATCATTTTATAAAAATTTATGGTATTTTACGTAAAAAAGGTATACTTGTTGAATATCCATAAAATA